TGCTACATGTTTAACATGTTATATGTTTAACATGCTACATGTTAAACTTGTTATACGTTTAACATGCTACATGTTAAACTTGTTATATGTTTAACATGCTACATGTTAAACATGTTATATATGTTTAACGTGTTGTTGACATGAAGCTGCTGAACTTTGACCCTGATGCACACGTCACAGGAACCTGTTCTCTTCCACATGTGGGTAAAAAACGCTGTTTATATAAATTTGGTCCAGTTGATATTAAAAACTGTTTGTTTGATTCATTAGAAAAGTAAAAAGCAACATTTCATACAAAGAGATGTTTTGAATGAGTCTGTGTAGTCGGACTTAGTGTAATTGTTTGAAAAGCATCTATTTCTTTAGTGACACTCGTTGTTCTGAATATTTATTATTACTTACTTGTATGTATGAAATGTCAGCGTGTTGTGTTGTGACTGTGCAGCAGCCATGGCTCAGGCCGGAGCTCACCTGACCTCCACCACCGTCAATGAGCAGCCGTCCATCTTCGAGGTCCTGGCACAGGAGTCTCTGATGGACGCGCTCAAACCTGCACTGAGACACGCCCTCAAGGTGAGTGATGATGAGGGAGAAGGTTTGAGCTTTTACAAAAACACAGAAACAGAACTTCAGAGTACGGATCAAACTGTTTATACAGTTTTAAAGTTTCACTCGTTCACGGATCATGTCGATGAAGCTTCAGCCTCTTTTGTCTGTTTGAGAACAAACATTTAAATTCACTGTTTTGTTTTCATGCTGCAAATAATCAACCGGATGCTCTCGGCCCCTCAGGTCCTGGCCGAGTGCAACCCGTCTCGTTTTGGCGTTCTGTGGCGTCGCTTTGATGAGCTCTACCTGCTGCTGGACCTCCTCCTCCAGAACCACTTCCTGTCTCACTGCAGCGCCTCCTTCTCTGAGAACTTCTACGGCCTGAAACGAGTTCCGGGGGGGCGGGGATTTCCCGTCCGCCTGGGGCTGCACAGGAAGTCTCACTGGCGATCCCTTCTCCTTCTGTGTGTGGTGCCGTACCTGCGCGCCAAGCTGGAGGCGACGCTGGCGAAGCAGAGGGACGAGGAGGACTTCTCTATCCAGCTGGCGAAGTCGAGGTGCCAGAGGCTTTACCGGGCGGCCGTGGCAGCTTACCCGTACGTCAGCTCAGCCTGGCAAGCCTGGGTCTTCTGCCAGCAGCTGCTCTTTGTCTTCGGAGTTTCCAAGACCCATAGTCCTCTGCTGTGGTTAGCCCGGGTGAGACTGGCACGACTCAACGCCCAAGACTTCAGAGACATGGAGCTGAAGGCCGGCCACGCCTCCGACCTGACTGACACGAGGTAGAACTGTGTGTGTGTGTGTGTGTGTGTGTGTGTGTGTGTGTGTGTGTGTGTGTGTGTGTGTGCGTAACAAGCATCACAAAAAGTTCAGGTTAAGTTTTTTTTCTTGAATGAGTCTCAGTCTTAAATCCAACAACCCACAATGCATTGCTCTCCTGTTTGCAGCCTGGTGCAGAGGACGTGGTGGGTGATGTCACAGGCAGCGAGGGGCATGGCCGTCTCCCTCTCCACCTCCCTGTCCCTGGGCGTGTTCTTCCTGCAGTTCCTGGAGTGGTGGTACTCCTCCGACAACCAGAGCACCGTGAAGACGCTCACCTCCCTGCCCGCTCCTCCGCCCCCCCTCCACCTGCAGGAGGAGGCTCCATCGGCCTCGGAGAAGCTCAGTGAAGAAACGCCGCCGGGCTCCGACAGCAGGAACTGTCGTCTTTGCCGAAGACTCTGCACAAACTCCACAGTTCTGTCCACCTCGGGCTTCGTCTTCTGTTACCGCTGCGTCTACATGTACGTGAAAGCAAACCGCCGCTGCCCGGTCACCGGATATCCCACCGAGCTGCAGCACCTGATCAAGATCTACTCACCGGAGAGCTGAACCAGCCGGAGGAGTTTCTGACTTTGACTTTTTAAAAAACACACAACAGTTGATGACGAGTTATTTTGTTTCTCTGTACGTCCTCGAGCTGAACGTTGACGAGCTGAAGGGAGAAGACGAGTGTTTTTTACTTTTCAACGGACTCTGCACTTTGATCATTCTGACATGAGCTGATTTAAACGTGAAGCTACTGAATATTACTAAATATCTAAAATCTATAATAAATCTGTATTAATAAAAAATGTCTTTGGATCACTCCATTCAATTTCATTTTTATGCTGATGAAACCCAATTATATTCATCGATCAAGCCTGATGAAACCAATCAGTTAATTAAACTTTAAGAATGTCTTAAGGATATAAAAAGTTGGGTGACCTACAATTTTCTGATGTTAAATTCAGACAAGACTGAAGTTCTTGTAATTGGACCCAAAAACCTCAGAAACTCTCTTTCTAGAGACGTCGTTACTTTAGACGGGATCACCCTGGCCTCCAGCTCCACCGTTAAGAATCTCGGAGTTGTGTTTGATCAGGATCTGTCTTTTAATGTCCATATAAAACACATTTCAAAGACTGCTTTCTTCCACCGACGTAACATCACCAAAATTAGACGCATTGTATTGTATAAAAACTAGTCCACGCATTTGTTTCTTCTACGCTGGACTATTGCAACTCTTTGTTATCAGGCTGCTCCAATAAGTCTCTCAGGACTTTGCAGCTTATTCAGAATGCTGCTGCACGTGTTCTAACAGGAACCAAGATCAGAGATCACATCTCTCCCATTTTGGCTTCTTTACATTGGCTACCGGTTAAATCCAGAATAGAATTTAAAATGATCCTCCTCACATACAAAGCTCTTCATGGGCAGGCACCATCATATCTCAAAGAGCTCATAGTTCCCTACTACCCCTCCAGAACACTGCGCTCTCAGAAAGCTGGGTTCCTTGTGGTTCCCATAGTCTCCAAAAGTAGATTGGGAGCCAGAGCTTTCAGTTATCGAGCTCCTCTTCCTCTTAGTTATGCTGCTGTAGGATAAGACTCTCTAAACATACATGTTACTAACTAAACTTCTTCCCTGGAGTTTCTGTGCTCTCTCGTCCAGCAGGTTCTCATGGATCGTGGCTGCTCCCTGTAATGGATCGTGGTTCCTGCCATGGCCCTGCCTGACGTCCACTCTTGTTATTACTATTAGTCATAATTCCATGACATTAATATCAACTTGTTTATTATTGTAGCATTGTTACACGTTACCACCACTGCTGCTGTGATCATTGTCTTTCATTGTAATCGTACAATATGTTTTCGGCTGCGTTGTTCTGTACACGTGACATCCATTGCACGTCTGTCCGTCCTGGGAGAGGGATCCCTCCTCTGTCTCCCTGAGGTGTCTTCCACCTTCGTTTCCTGTTAAAAGGTTTTTCTCACTTGAACCGAGGGTCCAAGGACAGAGGGTGTCACTCTCTGTACAGACTGTAAAGCCCTGAGGCAAAATGTGTTTTGTGAATTTGGGCGATACAAATAAAATTTGATTTGATTTGATTTACACTAAACTAAGCTTTGTTAGCTTCAGCTTCATATTTAGCAAACAGACACGAGGGTGGAATTCATTTGTCTCATCTGACAAAGGCAAGAAAAGAAAAACATTTATTTTACCAGAATATTGAACAACAGCTCTAGAAATAGTTCCCTGAAGCTGACGTCATGTGAAACACTATGCAGCTGTGACAGCTGTGCAGGGAGAGGGAACAGACACGGTCAGTGAATTGCTTTATTGAGTTTCCAGACAAGTTTAACAACAGGCCCACTTTAAAAAAAACAAACAGAATCAGGATCAACGTCACGACGTTACAGTGAGACTAATAAAAAAGGGCTTCGTCAAAACGTCCACAAACCCTGAAATGAAAGTGTGAAGAGTCACAAGAGTCACTTTCCCTTTTTAAGCTCTTGGAACAATTTATCAACACGAAATGAGGACGAGAGGAAAAAAGGGCTTAAAGTTCGAAAAAGGGACAAATATAATCATCAATAATAGTCACAGTAATAGATTGCTCGAATAGCGTGTATTGCACATGTGTACACATATATGTACTTTTATATACATGTGGGTCAAAGAATTAAACACGTATCGTCGCAACAGGAAAGGATCTGGATTTAACGACAGCACGGACAAAGAAGAGTCAGGAATGTGCTTGTGATCAGTTCCAACAAAAACTGTTCAGTCTGTCACGAGCTGGACGAGAGAGGGGTAACAGAGAGAGAGAGAGAGAGAGAGAGAGAGAGAGAGCGTCTCCCCTCAGAAACAGAGGGAGGTCAAACAGAGGAGGTGACACCTCCGACCCCCTCAACCAATCACAGCAGGACACTACAGTTACACCACAGTATCAAACATATCAAGAAATATACAGTATGAACGCATGTAGCAAAGAGTGTGTGAGTGTGTGTGTGAGTGTGTGTGAGTGTGTGTGTGTGTGTCTTGTGTCTGTCACACTCTGGACATTTGTTGTTATTGTGTCTTTGACAGTCAGTGCTCAGTTCCTGTCAAACAGTGTGTGTGTGTGTGTGTGTGTGTGTG